GGGGGGGAGCGGAGCTGCGAGCTCGGCGGGAGGTGCTGGCGTTTGCTACTTCTGTTTGTAGCATTCGAGGCGTTATTTGGCTCGCCGTGTTGTCGTTCCGGTAACGCAGGTTTATAACTCCGGCGTTAAAGGCCCGCTTCCTTGTGCTGCCTCCCGGGATATCTGTTCTGCAGTTGGGAAGACGCAGGGAAATTCTGTTTGTCTCAGGGAGACCCTTAAGTGAGGGGCGGCCAAGCAGAGCTGTGCGCTGAGAATACACGGCGCGTTGCGCTGCTCCAGAGAAACAGCCCTGACAGTGAAGTCACTGTGTCGGAACCATCGCTGTTTTCTTTTTTGGAATTTCTGTGTTTCCTCCCAGTTCATGCAGCCAGGTAAAGTGATGCCCAAGTCCTTGCAGAACCTGACTTCCAGCAAAAGGGCAGTGGTTCGCCATGACATGCCAGTGGGTCCAGCCCATTATTACTGGGCTGTCTGGTTTCACATGTGCTCTTTGTCACCTGGAAATCACATCTTTTCACTTGCTCTCAAAGGTGGCTTGCTGACCATGGAACAGGATAACAGTACCAACAAATGGGATATCTAAGCTCTTGCCTTAAGAAGTACGTAACAGCATCCTGCCAATGCAGGACTTCAGGATTGTGCCGAAGGCCGTGCCCTCCCTGGGCGTCAGGGACAGAACGCTGTCCACAGACAGGAACGCAGCAGCTTTCGGAATCCAGACTGCACGAGTCGTTCACAGCAGGCGTCTAGGCTGAAGCGCTTGGCCTGACCCAGAGAAGACACATTCGGCTGAACAGCTCGCTGTAGGAGGAACAAAGGATCTGCAATTGACATAGACTTCATATGAGATACTAGAAACACTATTACCCCCCAAATTAACGGACTTTTGTGCCCAGTGTGCACAGTTTAAAATGGTACCCTCTACTCACTTAACAGAATTCTGAAACTGAGTAGAAGCCGAGGGCCACTGTTACTTGTTTGATACGCTGCATCGGTGCCCCTTGTTATTCTTAAAAGGATAAAACAATTGCCGAACAGGGATACTTTAAACCACTTTGACCTGTTCAGCATCTTCCTCTCTTTTGCCGCAACACAGGAAAGGACCAAAACTTTGATGCTTACCCACTGATCCTTTCGAGGCATGCGTGGAAGTCTGTAATGCAGATCTAGGGTCCAGTTTCAGGATTAAGAAGAAAGCACATTCAAATCACTGATGTTTTTGTCTACAACCACATTTCACAAGAAACGCGTTTCTGCTGGCGTGCTAATAAGCCTCCCGCTCTGCTGATGCTGGGCACGTAGTAGCAGCTTGCTTCCTACTGTTACACAGGATATCTGCGTAGGTCGTGGAGATGGCAGTGCCCTGTGGAGGATGCTCTGTAGTGATTAGAACTACACACTTCACCTGACCCACCACAGTAATGAATGTGTTTAGGTGAAAACTCTGCAAATCTGCAACTAATGTGGCTGACATTTAGTCTTAGTATTAATTAACATCAACCTTTTCACTGAATATAAGGAATTTTTAGAAGTTAACTGTATTGCTTGTTACTAAACGTGAAATACTTTGTCTTGATACTGAAAAAAGTAGTATGGTTTAGTCTCTCAGAATTTTGAATTTCAGTTTAAATTCTCTGCAGTTAAAATCCCACAGCAAATACCTTCTCTGTGCTATGTTACTTGTAAATAAACACAAATAATTTCCCCATTATATTCCATATAAATCCCTGAGAGTTATTTTAAGTACTTGGAGAGAATGGTATTTGTTAACCTCTGTTAACTTTGTGCTAACTGCTAGAAAAAAATAAAGCCTAAATAGTTCTTTTCAAGTGACAGAGGTTGCGCTTTGGCAAGCCGTACGTTCTGTTGTTAGCGTATTCTTTTCTTGGGCTTATAGATTTTTGTTGAGGGAAGTAGCTTGCTTTTGCTGGAGAAGCCAGTGGAAGCTCATAGTTAGCTGACACATGGTGTTAGTTTAGCACACAGGTTTGATGTGGGAGGCCCACTTGAAAAGCCTGGGAATTGGACAGATACTAGCTTTATCCCTAAATCCTTCTAGGAAGTGAGCCTGGCAAATGGGACTGTAGAATGTGGAAGGTTTAAAAATTATATATTGGGGCAGTTAGCTTTGACCGCAGTTTAATACAAAGGAGGATTCTTGTTATTGCATTTTTCATCTTAAAAATGCTTAACAAAATGCTTAAGGTTATTAAAGGCATACAAGTTACTTCAGTCAAAGGGAAGCACAAAAGTGTTAAGCTACAGATGTGCAAACTTTACTAAATCAAATTGCTTCCTAACAATTTTTTCAGTGAAACATTTGAATGGAAAACAGGTCTGTCTTTTCTTAGCTTGTCATGGTATCCTGCAGGAGTTTTTCCCTGAAATCTTCTGAGGAAACAGTTAACTTTAAACCTGGAGCTTCTCGGACGTGTTTCTGCACTCTTATCAGGCTTCGTGTCATTTTCAAAGAATGTGAAACCGTTTTACGTAAATCACCTGTTATCTCCCCAGAATACCTTCTGGAAACCGTTTTACTGCAGCTTAAAATTGAAATGTGTAATAAGCGGAATCCTGCGCAGACTTTGGAATAACTTCTACCCATTATTCCAAAAATGCAATTAAAAGCGTGTAACTTAAAATGCATCACAATATTTTTTTTATCTGAAAATGTTGTGATTTCATATTCTTTTTCTTGCAGCACCTGCCAGTGTTCGTTGCATCCATAATGATGTCGTGGTACCAGACTTCTCTGCCTATCGTCGTCAAGACGTGCTAGATGCCACCACGTCTTCTCAAGGCAGCAGTGAGGCCAGAAAAGGGTTTTCCTACCTGATGACTGCAACAACATGTGTAGCAACTGCGTATGCTGCTAAGAATGTTGTCACCCAGTTTATTTCCAGCCTGAGTGCCTCTGCTGATGTGCTAGCGCTGTCAAAGATTGAGATCAAGTTGTCCGACATTCCAGAAGGCAAGAACATGGCTTTCAAGTGGAGAGGGAAGCCCCTTTTTGTGCGGCACAGAACCCAGGCAGAGATTAATCAGGAAGCTGAAGTTGATGTGTCTAAACTGAGGGATCCACAGCATGACTTAGACAGAGTAAAGAAACCAGAATGGGTCATATTAGTAGGCGTCTGCACTCATCTTGGCTGCGTACCCATTGCTAACTCCGGAGATTTTGGTGGTTATTACTGCCCTTGCCATGGGTCCCATTATGATGCCTCTGGCAGAATCAGGAAAGGTCCCGCTCCCTATAACCTTGAGGTTCCAACCTACCAGTTTATTGGTGATGATATGGTGGTTGTTGGCTGAGTAATGTGGTGCTTGCTCGCTTTGAAGTTCCTGTGAATGTCTGCTCAACAGGGTTAACTGAGATTCTAGAATACTGTAATATCAGATGATCCTGGAAACATACTAGCTGTCTAGATTGTCAAGCAGAAGTATGTTCGAATACTTTCCTGTGTTCAATTTTAATAAAAACTTGGAGTGAGCACTTGTTCCTGACGTACAATAACGTCTGTTTATTTGTGTGTCCACTTGCAGTGTGTCTAGTCAAAGAGATACTGCAGCAGACCCAGAATTTGTTTGTGGAGCCCTCCTGAGGGGCTGCTGATCCAAAACAGACACCAGACTGCAAAGCCATTGTTTCCTTAATACCATACATTTCATTATTTGGTTTTTTTTTTTTTTTGCTTTGTTTTTACTGCTTTATGCGAAGAAAAAATATCTAGAAAAGAACTTGCTGTGAACTTCTAATAGTGTTTGGAGTGAGTTTTGATACAGAATCCTGTGAGACGTAATCCTTTTCCTTCCTTTTTTTTTTTTGTTTTCAAAGGAAGTGAAATAAAAACCTCCCTAGAAAGAAAACTATTTACATTGTTGAGAGGCAGCTTATAATTGTTTCCCTAGAATGGTAGCAATGTAATTTTATGATGATGTGGACAAAAGTAAGTGTGTCATGTTAGAATTACAAAATTATTTTTCTACTTGCAGACAAGACTTGCTCTTACGCATATCTAAACATCAGATCAGGTGCATAGGACACTGCAAAATTTGTGACATTTGTCCAAAAGAAATGAGAAAGTATGAAGGGAAATCCAAGTCTTACAGAGGATGAAAATCAAATTTTTAAGAACTACTCAGTCTGGACTAATCTCTAACGTTAGACATAGCAAAAGGTTGTGTTGCCATCAGAGATATTACCTATAGGCTAAGCTCAATGAAGGCCAAAACTCTGAAACCTCTCTTACCTTGATGCTGACTCTGAGGACATGGAGAAACAAGCGCAGCCTGAAGTAGATCTTTTAACTGGAATTGGTCCTGCCACTACAGAACAAAGCTCACAATTAATTGCCTACAGTACATGAGGAGAATCATGGTTTGCTGCTCCCAGAACAAAAACACATCTTGTCATTCCTGTTTGCATCCTGTTCTTTACTGCTGTGAATGCTTCTGTCTTGCACTGCATTAATGCGCTCCTCCAGTTGCGAAACAGACAATACAATCCTCAGAACTCCCTGGGTCCAGAATGTTTAGCCTCACATACATCTCATGTAAAGCCGTGACCACAGCTGAGTTAAAGCTGAAGTTTGAAACAGGAATAATCAGAATACTGATGCATGTATCTGACCTGTTCTCAGACAATTTAGTGAAAAAAGACCGTAGATGCCTGCTACAGAAGTTCTCAGGTATGCATTTTACACCATTTCATAAATTTGAGCGTTACACCTTATCACTATGTCCACAAAATCATTCTCAAGAACTTTTTTTGGTATAATGAATCATGTTAACGCAATACTGAAAGAGATGTTCCCAAACTTGTATCTAAATAATTGGTATTCATATATGTGCCTTGTATTACAGGGGTGATCTTTCCTCAAATGTATTTCAAGTAAAGAAGCTTAGTAACTCCTGAGGTGGCATTAGAGCCTTGCTCATCTGCTCTTGAGTAGCTACTTTTACTTTATTCTAAAAATGTTTTTTAACCCACAGGTTATATTGTTTAGTCCTAACCTTTGTCCACCTTATCACTAAGTAACAGCGGTCCCAGTAAATTTGCCCCCTGTAAAGCAAGGAATGGCCAGGGCAGCTTCTGACAAGTGGACACAGTGAAAGCTAGAGTAGTTATGTCACATCTGGGTTTAAAGGGTCACACATAAAATTACTTGCACAGAATAAGCTGTTACTTAAGTTACATCAGACTGACTCGATCAAATCTTACCAATCTACAACGAATGCAGCACCGTGACATGGAACGCGTCTGAGAACAAGCCAGAAGCTGTTCCTGTAAACGCAAGCCCCAGCAATGCCTTTATTCACCAGGCTGATGACTTTACAGTTGAAGAAGCTGAAGTATTGATTCTTAGGCAATACAGAAGCGATAGTCTGCACCCACTCTTCAGTTAAAGGCTTTGTTCTTTTAAAGTGGCAAATAAACCATTCATAATGGGCTAAATGTGCCTTAGAAAAGCATCAGGATTTACTAGAATTTGAGAAATAAGAGTTAACAGCCTTAAACCTCCAAAAGCACTCAAAGTTTGGTACCACAAGTACAGATGCAAATTAAAAAAACATGAAATTTCATCTGAACATACTTTTTTACCGTGAAGGTTTTCAAACACTGGAGTAAGTTGCCTGGAGGGGTTGTAGAGTATCCGTGGGGATAACTCAAACCCAACTGGACAGTCCTGATGAACCCTGCCTGAGCAAGGGGCTTGGACTAGGTCATCTCCAGAGGTCCCTTCCAACCTCAGCGATGCTGTGCTTTGCAAGGAATAACATCCAGTTATTGTATTGTCTGGGAAAAGAAACTCCAGAAGGCCCAAACTCCGTAAGGGGGAAGCGTGACTCAAGCAAAGGTAAACCTCCATGCAGTGATGTGCTGGTTGCCAGTAATGAGCTCATAATTATCTTATGGGCTAAGACATCAGTGGAAGGAGCTCTCAGTACTGCCACTGAGTACAGACATTGCCACCACACAGATGGGTAATGTTACCCTTTGCATGGCTAACATACCCCGTGGGGCTAGAAGTACGAGTGTCCAAGCACATAGAAAAATACTGCTATATTTTATTAAATTCTGAAGATTCAGTGTATTCCTAAGAAGCAACGGCTTGCTAGGCTTTACTACGTCTATGTATTTCCACTTTGACTCCCTCCACTCCAACGGCCTTACCAGGGCTCTAATTCCTAACGTCACATCCTTTTTGCTTAACCTGTTTGCTAGTGAAAACAAAAAGCCAACTCACAAATTTCACAAAGCTAATGGCAGCTTTCCCCATCCAAAAATGCCTGACGCCCTACTTCTTTCTTCTCAGCTGGGGTTTCCTCATACCCGTGTAGGACAGCTCTGTGCTCCGTAGGGTTTTCTTTCTGAGCAGCCGGCGGTGTGAAGCCACGCTGCTCCCTGTTCCTCACACTGCCCGCCACAGGGTTGGCCTGCTTTAGGCAGCCAGGCCAGCATCACTCACTGCTGTTGACGTGACAGGTGGCAGGAGCCAAGAGCAAGGACACTTGGTGCTGCGACAGGTTTGCCAGGCTGATCAGCACTGGGGCCTGATGTTTTTCAGAGCAAGGCTATGATGCACAAGCCTGTGCCGGAGAGGGCAGCGGCATCGCCTGCCTGTCATCTGCGTGCCTCTTGGACACAGAGCAGCAGCCGCAGATCTGTTTCTTCTCAGCTAGCTACTTTTTCTCCTTTAGAACAAAACAGTCTTTATGAAGTTGCTGAACAGAGTTCATGTTTATTTAATAAAAGAAGCTCTTCAGATAAGGGGAATAAAGATACTAAAATCAAAACATAAATTTTAATATTTGACATTTCAAAAGCTTTTTCTGTATCTTCAGAAGAGGGGCAATATTTTTAATGGTGACTGCTGTCAAAGGAATATTTAGTGCAGAGATTCTAAATGAAAATTCAGAATATTAAGTAATTTTCATGGCTAATGACTGATGGGTTTTTAACACTTCTGACTGGTGAGGTGCACTTGTCAGAACTGCAGAGTTCCCCCCCAGCCTCTGTACTGACATTAACGTGGGTTCCTGCAATGCAAACGAGGCAGCGCTCTCAAAGGCCATGGTGTGCAGCAGCACGGTTATCAAGGACACGCTTGCCACTGATCACCAACAAAAGCTACACGAAGAAGAAACCCTATGCAGAGGGTTCCTAAGCAGTTCAGGTACATCTGAGGAACACGGTAGGGTCAGTTCCCCAGTTAAAGCAGCATTCAGCATCCGAGAAATACATTTCTTGTCAGTAGAAGTGACAAGTGACAGAACAACAATGACCCTTCTCCAACCTCGTAAAAGGAAAAAATAAATAATTTCTAGATAGAAGGAGAGGGTTTAAAGCTACTGAAGGTTGAGTGTCCTCCATGGGTACGATTTTGTCAGCTAACTACAGATGACATTTATTTTACATGTCAACTGCTTTTGTCCTCCACAGGGCTGGTAGCACTGTTTGTTATTCAAATGATTCATGTTCTAAGACAATTTTTGGTTATTTATAGTTTTGGGAAGCTCTGGCTATGATCTGTATTAACTGTGCTAGATTTCCTGCTTTCAAGTAATTTCTTTTCCTTATATTTCAGTAATAGTTTTGAAGAGAGAGCTAAAAAAACGCTTTCACGTTAATAATGCAGGTGATCCTGTCTCTGAAGGACTTAAGCAGTCCATGCCTATTAAAGTCTGGAAGTTTTGCTGACCACTATACATTTTGCAATCACCATGAAAATCTAAATTTTCTCTCATCATAACCTTTTAAAAATATGCTGTTTACACAGGCTCAGATCAGAAGTATCCATTAACCTGGGGGCCTGCTTTGATACACCTAGAATCTGGTGGTGTTCGGGGTGGTTCCCAGGCAGCAGCACCTAACATATTCACAATAGAGTTCCCACTGATTCTGCCACCGTTAAAAGTAGTTCACAGTCCTGCAAACCACGACCTTAAGTTGAAAGTCTGGAAGAGGAGGGAGAAACGTGATGGTCATGTGCAAACAGCTAGAGGAACTGCAACATCACCCAGGAGCTGCAGCACAACCAGGGACACAGTGCACGCCTCTGGAGTGTCATTCCAGAGCATCCGCCCTTTCCTTTCCTGCAAGCTGGAAATTCACCCCTATGCAACTACCACAGCAAGTGAAGAGGGAACAGCTTCCAAGAATGACTTTTGTCCAAAAACCAACCAGTTAGTTGCAAATAAAATACGCCATGCTTGACAAATTATTGAACATAATTATGACATTTGAAAAACTACTGTAGCAATATCAATTATAACAGCCTGTATTCTTGAAAAAAATATTTTAAGTGGGTTTTTTCTGAAGGAAAATCCAACAGCTTTTATGGACTAAAAACAGAGGAAGAACATATCTGTGTAATTAGAAAGCTTTATCATAACACAGACACAAAACGATATCGTATAAAGCCTACAAGGAAATACTGACCTCAAAATTTCAAAACTTTTAGATCTCAGCTGTGATTTAAACTTTTCAAATGATA